ATTTTGAGTAATTGCCTTTCAAAGTTATTTGTGCATACATTGTTTAATGGAATGAACTATCAAAATAACATTAAATAAACAATTTGTTGACCATTTCCAGAACTAATACTTTGGTACATGATTAATAAGACAATAAACTGTTGATCTATAGTGAAAAACAAATTTGGATTTTTAGACAATTTTTTGAGCTCCCATATTTCATAGCTCATTTACTCAATACTGGCCTGTGCGACAACTTAACAATTTCGCCATGACATGCCTCATTTTATTGTTATTTGAAATTCAGAGATTTATGTTTTGGCTACTGATGGCATTCTCTGTCGTACAGCAGTAGGCCAAGATTATAGTATCTCCTATTTATAGTACTGTATACCCTCGGTCCAAACAGCCTTGTGCAACATGATTGTGCACAATGGATTGTTTTTGATGACAATACGTTCAGTGTCACACCTTCAAAGGTTCCCAGAGCCTTCTATGCAAACCCAGTGTGTGCCCTGCTAAACTGTCTACAAATGCATACTCCGGTTATATTACCAGAGCAGCAACAACTACGGTTATATCTAGGATGCCCTTCCAGTGCCGACATTTGGCGGCGTTTTACTATCAACAACCCAGCAAGCTAGACAGAACTCAAAATTCAGTTGTCTTTTCAATAGTTAGACGAGGCTTTTTTATACCTTGTTTTTGCAAACTTTTTTTTGCACAGGGTAATGTAAGAATGAGTCTAAAAACATTATTTTAACCATCATGCTATCTTTCATTATTTCTCATGTTACCAGTGAGTCATTTTTTAAAGGCAGGTTTTTGGATATGTTGTACAACTGAATTTTCTTAGATGCACAACTTGGGAGGTTAACAAAGACTTTTTTATACCTTGTTTTGTGAACTTAATTTTTTAGCGCTCGTCAGAGGAGGACCAAAAAAAAAAAAAATTAATTTTGTTTTCTTATTTAGCAAATGGTTTTGAAAAAAACATCCAGACGGAGGAGAAAATATTATTAAAATTTACTTGGTGAATGTAAACAGTGTAGTAATGGGACAGTTAAATGCTTTAAATTAATAATAATTAGGAATAAATATACATCTTATTTTAGAGATTTCAAGGCAGCAGCAGGCATAATAAAGAAAAAACTTTTTCTTTTTTTTTCCTGAATTTTCCATTTGTTTGTGGTGGCGGGTACGCTAATTGGCCAAAAATAAAATTTTATTTTTATTCGAAATCATCATTTTTAGCAAGCGGCAGGTTCACTGTATGAGAAAGTCTTGCCTTATGCAAGTTAATAATTAGCACCTCTAATAATATGTGATAATTAGAGCTCTTTTAAACGATAAAAGGCCCTAATAATAGAGGGTGATTAGAGATATTTTAATTAGGTGATTAGGGCCCTAACTAACGATAGAGTTAACAAAAATAAATATGGAATGATCTGTTTCGAAGCACGATATCCTGTAGACCATACCCAGTACCGTTTTGATTTAAATCATATTGGATATTTACTCATCATTTGTAAAGTGTTTAAGATAATGGCTGGCCTTGCCGGGTGGGATGCACTATAAAAAAACCCACAATATTTTATTCGT